AACTGCAAACAATGGTTTCTGTACCAAATATTAAGTTTCATTTTTCTGGTGTATCAAATACTTATTTCACACAATAAAATGGAAATTAATTATTTAAAATCATACATTGTATTTTTCTGGATTTTTGTTTTAGATTCCATCACTCACAGTTGAAGAGTACCTATGATAAAAATTACAGTCTTCTACAAGCTTTGCAAGTGGGAAAACCTGAAAAATCAACAGTGTATCAAATACTTGTTCTCCCCACTGTACATAACTTCTTGATCAAGTTTATGGAACTGATTATAATATGTGTGTTTTGTGTCTGAGAAATGACTTGTAATGCATATATTTCCCTCTGAACCTCATTTTAAATAATACACGGATGAATTTCCAAATGTGAYTTGTCTACGTCTGTATTTCCTTGTCTCACGCCATCATTAAACTGAAAGAATTAAACGCCTTCATATTTAGAGACTGAATATTAATAGAAACGTTTTTCTGAAGTTTTACTATAAAAAAAACTTTAGTGGTGCCTCGAGGAAAAAGATAATTTGCGTATTTAATTAATTCACAAATGATCCATTTTAGAATTCTAGCATTTAATACCCCTGCAATAGTATGGGTGATTCAAAAATTGGAGATACATTTAGCATTTTGAAAAATGAAAAAATGTGTTAATTTCCCACAATTTTTTTCAGGTATTTTATTAAAAATGTTAAACTTTGAAAATTTGCTTTTTCTCAAATATTAGCTACATATTTTTACTTTTTATTAGCAAAGATTTATAGGATACAGTCCGATACATCAACTCTGTTACGGACAACATCGATAATGTTTTGAAAAAACGATATATTCTAACAGGCTAAATTCTCTTTATTTTGTTACATAAACTGTCCTAATATAAAACTGCTCCAAAGGTATATAATTTCAAAATACAATTGAAATATGACAAAAACATTTAACTACTGTATATACTGAATTGTTTTTGTAGGAGCAAACATTCCTTATTAAAACTCATAAAATACCAACAATTATTTAAAAAAACAATTGCGCTTGTAATACTGTAATACAGACAAAGTCAACCAACAATGTATAGAATATTAAAAACAATGATTTATTTTTGTGTGTATAAAAACTTAACTGAGGACTCATCTTAGGGCTACACAGCAAAAACAGGAGTGTTAAAATTTCAGTGTTAAACTTTTGGGTGTTAACACCCCCTTGTGTTATTTTAACACTTTCAGAGTACACTCACACCCAGTGTTAGTGTTAATTCACAGTGTTGATTTCCTCAGTGTTGTCTCAACACTGGACAGTGTTAAATAAGCTCCACCCACAGTTAAGTCTTATGTAACACTTAACAGTGTTGTTATATGACACCCTGCAGTGTTAAAAGAAGTATTCTGAAAAGCTCTTCCACCTCGTGTCAGACAGACCAGTATTTACCCAGCATTCCTTGCTGAGAAATCTTGCAGAAATGATGTTTTTGCATGTCTATGACTATTAAAGATGTTCATGAGAGTAAAAATGAGTTGTTCTGGTTAGTTTTCTTGTTCAGTTTGATCAAGTTGTCCAACTTTAAGTTTATGTTTTTGGCCAAAAATTGACACCATGAGTGAGAGGTACTTCCTGGTGTGTGAAGGATGACTCCATTATAGAGTTGATGTTGACTGAGTGTTAAATTTACACTCAGTTTGATAGTGTATTAAAATTTTGTGGTGTTTGTTAATCTTTCAAACACCACAATTTCCTTTGTTAATAAAAAATAATAATAATACACTAGTGTTACTTTTAACACTTTATTTTAACACTGTTGGAATGTTAATATGACACCCAGTATTGTTGAATATTTAACACTGGCTGGTGTTACTTTTAACACTATATTTTAACACTAACACTATTTTTATGTTAATGTGACACCAAGAGTTGTTTAATATTAAACACTGGTTGGTGTTAAATTAACAAAAAAAAATGAGTGTTAATATT